ACACTCGCACACACACACACAACAGCACTCACACCAGATTGACAGTAGTTATATTTACATTGTGATCTTTTGTCTTTGGCTGTCGTCCACATGCTAATGTCATTGTAAAACTGGTTTAATGCCGCATTTAAATGTTTTCATCGTTTTTATTGTAGCTTTTCATGCCAATTTGTGCGTCCGATTGGGCTTTTTATGATGAAAATTAGCTGCATACTCATGCATATTAGTGGGTTTCTGGTTCAAGTCTATGTCCCATTGTGGCATTGTCTCTCTGAACAATTAAAGCCCAATTTAAATCAATCGAAAGTTGATATATATATATATCGATGTCACGGATGAACCCCCCTATCCCTCCCCTGCCCACCCGCCTGAACTTGAGCAATGTTAATTCAATTAAAAAAATATGTTTATATTGATTTGAACTCGGGTGTGCTGGCAACTGACTTACGGACTGCGAGAAGTTGTTAAAGCAATTCAATTCTGGTTTTAGCATAAAAGTTGGACAATTTCACAGCTAATTAGTCGACACGAGTCTCAATTTAGCTGGGGCTTATTTCATTTAACACCGAGACTATCGATCAGCTTGGCATACATTAAATAATTAAATGGCACAACATGCTATTTAAGAGCCCATTTGTTAACCAGTTGCTGAAATATCGAAACTATTAAGAAAAACAAAATCTATATCAAATATCAACAGAACTTCAAATGCGAAAACTAGTTTATCTGCGGCGTGTCCGGCCCAATTCATTAGCCAAATATTATAATTGATATGCGCAGATGATTAAGTGCTTCAACTTTGAAGGCAACCCTCGTCTTAGAATTAACACTGTGATCACATTTTGCATTATTTATTCATATGTCTAAATACCATATAATACTTAGTTTTTGGTTAAGAAGAAACGTGTTTCGATTCTTTGTGCTTATCATCAGCCAGAGTTGACTTTTTGTATATTTCTTAAATTTATTTCTGTCTCTTGATGTGTTTGTTTCGCTTTTTGTGTGTGTTTTATTTTTTAAGTATTTAAATGTTTTTTCATTGTTTATGTTGTTTTTTTTTTTATTTTGGTGTAGCCAATTCCGGTTCGACGACCCTTTCACTTATTAGAGCGGAGCGAATTCCACAAGTTCACAAATAATTGAATTAAGATCTGATTTGGCATATATATGCATATATATATATATATGTAATTGATTCAGCTGATATCAGCTGCAAACCAATTGCCATATTCGCAATTCAAGAGCCATGCATCGTTAAGCAAATAAATACAATTGATTAAATAAATAAAACATGCAACAAATACGAGCTACGAATATTGAACATCGGCACATTTTAAACAATGCAAAAGTGGTCTTTTTTATGCCCTCTACTCATTGAAAATGGGCAAAAAGGGTATCATTTTGTTGTATTTATATCTATATTCTTCATTAATATCAATAGCCGAGTCAATCTAGCCATGTCCGAGTTGCTATCCGTATGTCTGTCCATCTGTCTGACTGTATCAAGAGCTAGAGACTAGAGAAGTCAGTTAATCGATAAGTTGCCCCGTTTCCAAGCAATCGATAAAAATCGATATAAAAAAAGGTGTTTTCAGAGCAAATCTAATTGTCGCTTCTAGAAGAGTATTTACTGAGCTGATTGCATGATCTGCTCTGATAAACTGATCTTGAACACTTGTTGTTGGTAAAAGAAGGTACAGGGTATTCCCTAGTCGAGCACTCCGGATTAAAGCATATTTTTTGCATTTGGCATTGTACTTCGATTTGGGTTTCGGCTACACCCGACTTTGCATGTTCAAATAGCTGCATGCGAGGGTCAATTATTAGAGTGACATCACACTCGTTAGTCTGCAAGGGTATCTAGGCTTCGGCTTGCCAGATGTTAGGCCTACTTGCCTGTTAGCATAAATTCTTCTGTGGAATCATGAAAGTGGATATGGCCTTTCGACATACTTGATCGCCTTATTTAAGAATAGAAAATTCGCTTTTTAAGTACATTACAAACTGCTTGCGTCATCTGGCTCATCGCTAGTCGTTGACTATAAATAGTCAGCGCTTAAATATATCTTGGAGCTCACAATAAATTTTATAATCGACTAATTGTGGGTGTTGATGCGCGTTGAATGAGGCAACAAGCTGGCAATGACTGGCCACCAAACGTGTTGAGTTATTTAATTTTCTTTAAATATTTTACAAATATTAAAAAAAAAAAAAACAACAACATATAAATATTCGCATTTAATTATGCGGTTTTAGCACTAATCGAATTATGTTAACAAATATGCAAATCGCAATATTGGCAAAGTGCAAACGTAACAGAAACCGCTGCAACCACAATTGTTAATTGCGGTTACTTTTTTTTTTGTGACCAAGATGCGGGTGTAAATGTAACTAGGTCCTAAAAAGTGCCAGTGCATAAAACGAGGGTTGATTCATGTGTTTTACATAAAAAGCTGTTGCTACCTGCACTTGGTAGAGATAAGAAATTTCTCTTGTTTTCAATCAAAGTTTGAACCAGCAACTGGGTTCAAGGTTGTTGTTAGGCCTTCTTTACAAAACCAAAAACCCTCAAGCAAACAGCTGGTTCGAATTGCGACCTGTTCTTTTTGGATTCAAACAGTGAACCGCATCAGCGACTTTCCTTTTTGGGTTTGAATTGTGAATCGAACCAGCGACTTCACTTATGTAAAACCATGTTTATAAAAACAAGCAAACAGCTGGTTCGAATTGCGACCTATTCTTTTTGGATTCAAACAGTGAACCGCATCAGCGACTTTCCTTATTTTGGGTTTGAATTGTGAATCGAACCAGCGACTTAACTTATGTAAAACCATGTTTGTAAAACCAAGCCAAAGGCAGGCAGTTTGTTCTAATTGTGAAACGAACTAGCGACTCCTTTTTTTTTGGTACGATTTATAAATCAAACCAGCGACTTCTCTTTGCATTGACGGGCTGGCTGCCACGAAATGTGGCAACAGCTGGCGCACTTGTATGCTTTTTGAGGCCAACGCCCACAACAGCTGCTCGCAGCAGCAACAACAACAACAAACTGTCTTCTATGCCAAGTCTCTTGCGGAGTGGAGGAACACATGTGAAACATATGACAAAATATGTGTGAAAGATGAATAGAAAGACAGCAAAACTTATCTAACTTGCGCTTTTGCATATATCAAACGATTTTGGATTGTTTTTGTTTGTTTTCAGCTTTGTTCACGCCCACGTTTAATAGCTTTCTGATTATGTTCAAATGTATAGAAAGAGATTAAAGAAGAGCACAAATTAGACTTTATCTACATGTGACTAAATTTATAAAGCTCGTGTTCTGTCAATGTGTCGATAGACAATCAACTCTATGCGTATATGGGATGGATAATAAATGGACTCAATTTGCATACATGATGCCAGAGAGGGGGGCGCCCCTTCCTCTACACGTCTTTCTCTCGATTTCAGAATTGAGATTTATGGTTTCGATATCGATTTATGTGCATAATGCAATTGGCTAAATGCCTAGAAAAAATATCAACATAATCAATCGTGTATTATGTCATTTCAGATAGGTTTGTCTAATGAACTCTGGCAGATAATTTGACAATTTTCAGCAACAACATTATCATTAATCAATTTGAATAATTTGTTTGCAAATGCAAACATGACTGTATGCGGCCGGAACGAGGCAGGGCGGGGCGGGCCGGGGCGTTGCCTTTGACAACATTTTATGCCTTCTCATTAAATTCAGGATGACATTATCCTGTTTTATGTGAGTGCTTTTTGTATTGTTTTTTATTTTAAATTTATTTTTTGCGTAATTCCATGCCTTATCTAATTCATGCAAATTTCGTATCTGTTTAATGGCGCAATAAATGGCTAAAAAAAAAGGGCTCCATGCGGATTTTTGCGGCCAACTAATTTGGTTATTTGTGCCGTAATTAGTTTATGTTAATTGGCTTTTGTTGCTGGCAAACTTTTTAAAATTAACTTAAATGCGCTGCTGTTAAATGCATGTTGCGATTGCATAAAGTCTTGCAATTGCAAATGTACAAATTTTTGTTTTTAGCGCCAAAAAAAAAAACTTGTTCAAAAGTCAAATGGCTAACAAACAAGAAATTGTTTTAAATTATTGTTAATACTTTTAAGCTGCATATTTGTTTGTTCTCTTCAAATTTATGTGTCCGTTTGTCTTAAATACTCTTGTAGAGGTGGTATTTGAATTTTATGAGGAAATGTGTGACGCATGCATTTGTCTTTTTGTCCAAATAATATAGTTGATCTACTTCGGCATTTGGGATATTTCAGACATATCTTATCAACAGAGTACTTCTATATACTATATACTACTATACTACTTGATTCTACTACTCCTCTATCATATAGCTCGATAGACAGCTTTGCTTTTCTAGATATTTACACTCCGATATTATAATCTACAAAACACTCTGCACTGCTCGCACTTAAAGGGTATTTCAACTTCGACCTGCCAAAGTTAACAGTTCTTTCTCGTTTTCTGTTTTTGCATATTTTCGGCTTATTTCAAAAACAAAACAAAAGCTCAAACATTGCACAGCCCGCGAAACAGAAACCTGGGCTGTTTGGTGAGAGGAAGGGGGGCGGGGTGTGTGTGGGGGAAATGAAGATGCGCAAAGCGCACGCCAAAAAAAAAAAAAAACCGAACTTATGCAATTTCTTTTCTGTTTGTTTTCAATTTCTGCTGCTGCGCTTTGGCTTTTGTTTCTTTTCTCTGCGTGTAAAACACACGCCAGCGAATTTAATGCACATTTTAATTTATTTTTTATCTTCTTCACATTTTCCATACACAATTTGCACAGTTTGGCACAGAGCTCACGAAATTGTGTCAGGCGGGCATTTTATGTTTTTTTTTTTTCAAATTTTTCCAATTTTTTTTTTAAAATAAATATTTGTTGCCTGATAACAGCGGCAGTCAATGTTGTTGTTGTAACTGTTGTTGTTGTTGTAACTGTTGTTATTGTTGTTTTGGTATGCACCTTATTTGCGTAGTGTTGGCTGGATGCTGCTGCAGCAGCACTTGATGCGGATGCTGATGCGTGTTTGGTTTTGGCCCAAGCTTTTGAATATCGTGCCTCTGCCTCTTCGCGCAGCAACCGATCGACCGACGCGAACGACTGGCAGAAAGAAACTGAAAACTAAAACTGAAGACAAGAGCAAGACAAGAGCCACCGGGCCCCACGCTATGCGCGCCGTTAGCTTGCTGCGCTGCCGCTGCTGCTGCTGCTGCTGCTGCGGCTGCTGTCAGTGTTGTCAGCTGCGCTTTTTTTCAACTAGCTTTTTTCAAGCGACACTTTATTTGTGCTGCCTACTTTTGGGCGGTACGAAATAGTTGTAATAGTAAGTAAAAATTTATGTTTTGACATATGGCTTTTGCAGCCTTAGCCAGTTTTATGTGTCTGACAATCGTAAAAGGCAGCACGAGCAACTAGTTAGAAGTCTGCTGCCAGTCTTCGCAGCGGTAGTTGCTGCCATTTTTAAAGAGCGTCTAAAAGTATGCTTTAAAAATGATGACGGTACGTCTCGCCATATAACGGCAGCGCACAGTCGCGGCCATAAAAAGCGGCTGCCATTAAATAGAGGAGGACGACACACACAGCATCACATCAAAGTGTGTTTGCGGCGGCAGCATTGACGTCATTTAATTATGATTACGGTAAACGGGTAACGGAAGGGCGCATTAAATGCAACGGGTATCCTGCATAAAATGCACGTAATAGCGCGTAAAAATTAAACAAAACAAAAAACATTAAGGAGGGGTTATATATAAATGGGCAACATTATAAGCGTTTGGCTAAGTGATTCTCCAGCTTTGCGCTGACCCCAAAAAACGATTAAAAGCTTATGCAGCTGTGTGTCCTTTATGGCATTCATACAGAAAATTGAAAAAAAAAAATAAAAATCTTTACACGCGCCGTAAATTCAATTAGTTGATACGCCGACTGTCAAATGTCAGCGGCAATGTATTTGCATTGACCTTTGCGCTCGCTAGGCAGGTGAGCAATAGGTCATACGCACACAAACAAAAAAAACGGCCTAGGCTACACTCGATGCGCGTCTGCTTATGTCATCGTCATCATCGTTCTCAGCGTCAACTTGATCATGTTCATTATTATCATTGCGAGTATGTGTGTGTGTGTGTGTGTGTGCTGTATGGCTTCCTGAGCCTGCAACAGAAACGTTAAATATAAAATCCTATTTATTTGCCAATTTTACAATCGAGTGCACAGCCAACGACAGACGACAGTGACGTCAGCGCGCCAAGGCGCCAAGCCAGAAGCCAAAAACTATTCACACCAACGACAGCCCATGCCCTTTGTGACTCTCTCTCTGTGTGTGTGTGTGTGTGTGTGTGTGTGTGTGTGTGTGTGTGAGAAGCAAACGCATAATTTCATTACCAAAGCTCGACGTTTGTTTTCAATGATGTCATATAGTCGTTCGGTCCTTTAGCCGGAAGTGCCAAGTTTCTGTGGCCAAAATGACGCGCAGGCGCACACACAAAATGGCTGCCATTGAATGCAGTTTCCGCTCTTCGTTTGTGACGTCATGACTCTCTTAAAATGTGGCTTTGACTTGAGGCGCAGAACTTCTTGGTGACTCTGGCATTGTACGCTTCCGGTGCGATCACAAAGCGCAGCTGTTGTGATACCCTGTTATTAAGTGCAGCTAGAGGATATTATTATTTATATTTTGTCTTTAAATCAACTTTAGTTCATTTAAATGTCTTCAAGTTATTGAGAAGGTTTTTGCTTGAACATGGCTGGCATAGTTTTGCTGCTGGGTATCAAATCGTTCATCATTTGGCTGCTCGCTTGTTATGATGGGCCTTTACTGCTTCATTTGGCATGGTTTCTTGTGTGGGTAAATAAATATTTATCTTAAAGTGCGTCGCTTGTTTCGCAGAATCCTCGAGTGGCCCGCACTTGGTTAGGCTCTTCATTTGGCTTGGCTCTCGGCTGTCTTGGCCTCTCGACTCTTGACTCTTGTTGATTTTGCTTTTATTGTCGCCTTGGCAGCTGTTGTAACTGTCTGACAGGACATTAACCCCGTGCGCGAGTGCCCAGCTCTGATTGTAGTATTGAATTACATGGCCGACATAACAACAATAGCAACAAAACAAATTTTGCGACAAATTTGCCGTAATTTATTGTGTATTATCTTTGTATTTGTATATTGCGGCAAGTGGTACGCCCCCCAAAAAGGGTAGACAAATGCCACATTATGCAAACATTTTCGTTTTTATTCAAACATTTGTCATTTCCACAGGACTGTGGCCATTAGTCGAAAGCCAAATAAACAAATCAAAGGACCTTACAGGCCCTCTAACTCGATTGACATTGACGCAAATGTAAAATAAATCAAATACGAAACTTTGTTTTTCGCTTCAATTTGGGGCCCAACAATTTTATCGCCGGAAGTGATTTTCGCTGAAATCCAATCAATAAAAAATTATGCTGCTGCTAAAAATAAGGCCAGAAACAGTAACAGCATTTTTGGTGGCACAACATGGCGACTGCCTAAAAGTAGGCAACGATAAAATTAAAGCACCCTGTGTGCGTCTGTGTGTGTGTATGGAGCCATATCTGAAGTGAAGCATGAATCTGTTGTTAAGCGGTAAAAAATATAAAAAAGTGCCCGCAAATTTATGAGGCGAATCTCTCTCGCCCTTTCTCTCCTCCCGCCCTATCTCTGGGGAATTTTGTGGGAGAAATGCCGTCTGTTGGCGTTGTTTTTATCTCAATACGTGCGACTGGCTTTAGATTCAACAATTTTCAAGTTCATATTGCTTAATTTATGCTTCATATGCTCGAATTCTATGTAATGCGCCCGTTTATTAGCATAAAGCCTTAATAATACCCTATTATAGTCAAAAGCTGAACTATTACCGAATTATAAACGCAAATACGATTATGTGCGGCAAATGATTTTCCGAGTCCAGGCAACTTTTCAACTGGGCTTAACTTTAACTGCTGCAGTTAAATGTAAATTAGTTTAGCTTTGGCTTTTGGTTTCCCACCACCCCCCCCCCCTCCCCCCTCCCCCCGCCCCATGCTTATAAAATTCAATTATTGCCACTTGGCCAAACAAATTGTTAAGTAAATGGATAAAAGCACTATGGTAAAACACAACTCAAAGCTGTTTATATTAAGAGCCAGGTTGTAAGAGGTGGAAAGCGCAAATAGGTAAAGGGCTGCGACAAATTCGACCTGGAAGTGGGGGAAAATTGTGTTCAAGGTAAGAACATACAAGTGGAAATGGCTAAGACATCGAACAGGTGGCTGGTTCAAATTCATCAAACAAACAATTACGTTGATTGTTAGATCCGCACAACGCCGGGTAATTTCTTCTAGCTGCCAATTGAATTGGTAAAAACAAAATGTCAGCTAATTGGCATCTTCGTTAATAGCCGAAAAGTGCTTTCGATCGAAATATGCAATAGTTTTATTGATTCCAAATTTAACTTTCAAGTGCAATAAATATAAATAGAATATTATATTTGATATGGCAACAGCTGAGAGCCGGAGAGCTGGAATGCTAAAGTTCAAGTAATACGCCATTTTAGATAAATCAACAGCAAAAAGCACAATGTAAACGAGCCGAAACGCAGACAAACAAAAGAACAGAAGCAGCAACAGCGGCAGCAACAGCGGCAAGACAGAAGAAAGCGAGAATATGAAGAGCCACAACAATAAGAACAGCAACGAGGCTTGCGGCAATGTAAAGTGAGTGAGAGGGCGAGTGAGTGAGAGCGAGCGAGACAGAGACTGCAAAATATGTAAATAAACAAGGCAGCACAAGTCAAAGCCAGAGGCGCAAAAGGTTGCCTGCTAATTTATGGCCACACAACACACACACACACACACACACACACACACACACGCACACGCTTAAAAAAGTAACGAAAAAACTGTTCAGCACGTGCAATTTGGCAAATGAGCATTGGCCGTGACGTCACAACGCGCACCGCTGATAACAGTGCATGCGGCGAGCGGCGCTCTTAAATAAACGCGCTGCCAAACGTAAGAGAGCGCAAGCACGCAAGAGAGCAACGCCAGCGGCCATATAAAAAGGCGCGCACACTGCAGAAGCGCCTTAGTTCTTCAGTGGAATTGCCGGTGTTAGCAAGCGGCAAAAAAACAACAACAACAACAAAATAACAGAGCTTGCAAAGCTTTTCTACTACAACAACTAAACGCCATGCACAATATGTACCAAAAGTTAATAACATTTGCTAATAGCATAAAAAACCAAACGCATATATTTTTTTAATAAAAAACAACCAACAACAATAACAACCAATGTGCTTAAAGTGTGTGAAAATGTGAAAAATATTTAAAAAAAAAAAAAAAAAAACAAAGTTAACTTAATTTATTTAGCACATAAACATAACAAAATTTACTAGCTATAAAAAAGCTGTGAGACAATTGCTAAGAAACATATTGAACTGCGCAGCAAAATATGCTAAGAATCAAAGCATCAAGATTGACAACAATTTGCAACTGAGCGGCGCCAAGCGCACAGAAAAGCGACACAATTATAATTTCAATAACAACAACAGCAACAACAACAACAACAACAACAGGTAAGAGGCACAGGGAGTTAAGGTTTTCCGGGAAATATGTTAATTTCACATGTAAATAAAAAAGAGCATGCAATAAACAAACACACGCACACACACCTTTAAATACAGTACATATTTCACACACACTCACACACACTCGCGCACACACCTCAAAGCATCTTTCGCAAGCGCAAAAAGATATAAACAAAATAATAAACAAGAATCATTCAACATGAAGACGGCAAAGAAAAGCCAATGTACGCTGTTCCCATGATGACATAAAAAATGAGCACAGCTCCATGCAGAGAACCGAAAACATCGGGTAAAAATAAAAATATATAAAAAACATTGAAATTGAAATGTAAATAAATACAAAAAAAAGAAAAGAAAAGAAACACAAGCTCGTTAATAGTACAAGACGCTGCAGATGCGACAGGCATTCAATTTGCGCTCTGGCTACAAAATATTTGCGGAATTTAAACGGGCTGCACTCCGCTTGATAGACACATAAAAAACCAATCCGTTTTGCTCATTTTAAGTGCAACTGTATGGTTTACTCATAAATATGTCTCCAAATGATCTGCAAAGATCTTAGCACAAATTCACTTGCGAGGTTTTTACACGCTTTTCGGCAAATCCATCTAGAATTGGTTTTGTGAAGCAGCAAAGATGTTTATGAATAATTTCTTAAAGAAACCCATTCGACTTTTTATTAGAATACAGCGTAATTTGTGGGTCTAAAGCTGATTAATTGGAAACCAAAATGGGCTCAAAAATTTGACTCAAATTTTTGGTTCAAATATCTATGCAATGCATCAAAGTCTTAGCTCAAGTTCGAAACAATGTAAGTTGGCCCGCGCAAGGCCGGGTAATTGCCACCAGTCATGTTTTTATAGCTGTGATTATATGATGATTAGTCAATTGCCTGGCGACAAACACTCGAAATAAAATTTTGTGATATTTTTGGCACAATTCGGCAAACAACTAATTTGCCATTTTTTCGCCTGTCTTTCGAGCAAAGTCAAAGATAAATAAAAATTGAATAGAAAAAATAAAAAAAAAAAAAAAAAATAAAAAAAAGCAGAACGCGTAGATCAAGCGACTAAATGGCAATTACAGGAGAGAGAGAGACAGAGAGAGAGAGAGAGAGAGAGAGAGAGAGAGAGAAAGAGAAAGAGAAAGAGACAGAGACAGAGACAGAGACACAGACAGAGAGAGAGAGAGACAGAGAGAGAGAGACAGAGACAGAGAGAGACAGAGAGAGAGAGAGAGAGAGAGAGAGAGATAGAGATAGAGAGAGAGAGAGCGATAGCTCAACCAATTGATTGCAATTATTGCTAAACTAATAATCATGAATGTTTTATTACGCATGTTTAATTGTACACACAATAAAAAAAACGCATCAAACAATTATTTAATACTCATTTAAGTCTTTTATGATCTCTAGCGCAAATAAATGCATATATATATAGATATATACATACATATATACATATATCTTTATTCAAAATGAAGCGCCTGCCTTCAGCGCATTACGTATACGCCCCGTGGCGTGCGAATATGGAAAGCAATCAGTTAATAAGCCCCAATTATTGTTATTCCATTGAAATAAAGTTAAATCTTTTAAACACACACAAAATGCATAGAAAGAAATTATTACAAAAATTGATTTCATTCGCATAATTTTCCATTTCCATTGAGTCTGCACTTGAATTTGAGCAGCAACAAATGCCAGGCACGTTTATACGTGTACATATTTGTTGCATTAAAGGTGTCATGTTTAATCAGGTTTTTCTTGCTGCCGCTGCCGCTGTCAGCAGACTGCCGACAGCGACTGTGATTCAATTATTTCAGCTTCAGCTTCAGCTTGTGCCCAGCCTTTTATCACATGTGCATAATTTGATTTTGTGCAAGCATTTTTGGGTGCGCCTCCCCTTTTTTCCCTCTCTCTTTTTTTAAGCAAGATTTGCTGTTGTTGTTTTTTTGGCGACTTTTCCGCACTTGAGCTGCTGTCATTTAAGGCACACACAAATTAGTTTCCGCTGTGTCTTTACAATCTTCATCTGCGCGTCTCTCAGAAGAAAAAAAAACTCTCTGACACTGTCGCTGTTGTTGTTGTTGTTGTTGATTTTATCTGTGCCCATTGTTGTTTTTGTTGTTGTTGTTGTCTAATTTGCGATAAACTGACACAAGATTGCAGCTACTTTATTCAAATTATGTGATAAGCCGCAACGTCGCGCAACGCAGCGCAGCGCAGCCCCGCAAAGCAAACACAAAATGTGAATACAACAACAACAACAAAAACACACACAAACAAAACAAAAAAGAAGAAAAAAAAAACATGCTTTATAAAAATGTGACACGCAGCCAAAATGCCAACTAAACGCGGGGCGTGGCACTGATTGCGCCCACAAGCTACAAAAGTTGCCCATTTTTTGGCCTTCTCAGCTGCGGCTGACTTTGGCTTGGCTGCGACTTGGCCTCCAAAATTTTTTACTCGAAATCAGTTTTTCCCCTTACTCAATTTGTGTTTTGTTTGCGGCTACGCTGATTAGAGCCTGATAACTTGGCCAGCAATAGAGTGGGTGTGTGTGTGTATGTGTGTGTGGGGGGCGAGAGCATAAAGCATATACCCAAACACGTCCGAGTGACAACTAACGAGCATTTGATGCGGGCATCCCGTCTTATCTAACTGTCTGCACGCTTTACGCTCATCCGTGCCGGAGAATCTTTCGATCAGCGTGAAAAACTGACTACGGAAGGACCAAAAAAGTGAGTGAGAGTCGACCTAGAGATACGCTGAACCACGCGACAGAGCTGAAGAACTATCTTTCTTTATAAGAAATGTATTCTTGTTAAGCTTCGGTGTTTATAGTCCGATCTTTATGAAAATTTAAATAAAGCGCAAAGCTCTAGCTTAGGGAGTTGTTTTTTTTTTGTGAAAACTTATATATAATCTTGATATAATATACAAGAATCTACAGACCACATTTACTGTGTCTAGCTTTTAAATTATTCGAGTTATGCTTAAAGAAAAGACGTCTCAAAATCGATCAAAATGCAACTATATATATCGAAATTCTTTTGGCTAGGTCAACTTGGCGCTTTGCTCTTATCAATAATATATACTTGATAAAAAAGGAGCAAAGGCAGGACGGAAGGACAGAAGGAGGGAGGGACAGAAGAACAGACTTGGCTCAATCTATTTGGCTGTTAGAGCTGATCAAGAATATATATATATTATATATGAAAGCAGAGCAGCCTCCTTCTTGCCCACAACCAATATACCCCCTTTTACCCATTTTCCCTGTGTCCTCGGCATAAAGAAGCACGAAATCAATCCACGTCGTGTGTGCCCACTTTTATTGTTGTTGTTGTTTTTCTTTTTCGCCCCGCCCCAGACGTGGGCGTGTGCGCATAGCACTGATAGGGCCACTTTAAAAAGCCAACATTACGTATACGCAGCGTTGTCTGGCATTTCATAAATATTGCAGTAAGTGCTCGGGATAGGTTTTTCATATACTGGCGAGCAATTGCCATATATTTAAGTTGCTCGGCGGCAAACGCATTCTGGGGACGGCACACACAAAGCAATTTTAAACTTTTAAAATTAAATAAATAAATGGATATTTGGGAGGTGCTGAAGCTTAGATACCCTAGCAGGCAGCATGCAGAGTGGCAATAATAACAAGTAGGAGGTTCTAGTCAGGAGCTCCCGACTAGGGGATACCCTGAACCATCTTCTTCCGGAATTCTTCAGGAATTCAGAATTTGGCTGTCTTATGGGCTCGACATTGTCTTCTGCTAGGCACTGCACATTGAGTCTCATTATATATAATACGCCTTGTTGGCGCATAACAAAAGGCAAATTATTTTAAGAGCAAACTTTTCTAACACACACTCTCGCGCACACACTTGCGTGAAAATTGCACCTGGTTGGCCACTTTGCAGCTCCTGTTTGGACAGCTTTGCAGCATGACAAACACATGTTTCGAGTGCCTGAAACAAACTGAACTGGGAATGGGGCAAAGTTGATGCTGCCACAGCAGCTGTACCCAAATGCATGTTGCATGTTGCATGTTGCACGTTGCACGTCGGGCGAAGCACAAAGCGTTTGACATTCTTTGCACTTTTACTTAACTTAATTCGGGCTTGTTAGGGCCAAGCACTTTGTTGGCCCTGTCAAGTTGTACAACAAAGGCTCTGGCAATTGCTTTGGGAATTTAAATATTTATGTTTAATATTTAATGTAGTCAAACAATTTAAAGCGTTGCAACAATTAGGTGACATATAATTAAGGCAACGCACTTGAATCAATTATTTAGCTATATAAAATATGAAAGAGTTGTTACTTACCTTTGAGACAAAACAGGGCTCAAACCTGCCTGTTTTGGGTGTCTAATAAGCAGCAGGTGGCCGGTTCAAATTCTGTTCACATATTCGTTTATTTTAATTAGTTTATTCACCTAGAAAAAAGATATTGATTGACATATAATAATATATAAAATAACATGTAGCCGCAATTCGCACTTGACAATCATTTATTCATAAGAACCGGGCAACGCTGGGTTATTTGCTACAGCTTAATAATTATCCCCAATCGATTAATTATTGCACAAAATACGCTTTAAGTGCGGCATTTCTTTTTCAACCCACCATAGAAATTCTTTTGTTATTCTTCTTTATATTAAAGAATAGTCTTATCTGAGCATGCATTTCCCGTTGTTTGACTTAAAATTTAAATTTAGTACACATATTTGTGATAAGGCTATGTAAAATGGCCTTAAAGGCTTATAACTTTGACATGGCCCGTTTGACAGACAGACTTGCCGCAGCAAGTACATAAACTTTGAACTTTGTTTTTTGTGGCTTAGCTGGAGCTAAACTTTTTATGCGCACTGTCACGAAAAGTGCCACAAAACATAGCATTTCTTTCATCTACTATTTTTTGTGAATCTTCAAATGAGCTCTTCGCTTTGTTTATTGCTTTTATTTACCTCATAAACATTGAGCAAGTCTCCGGCTGAAAAGAATCTATATATATATCTAAATATATTTATTATTATTTTTTATATTTTTTTGCAGAATGAAGAAGTAGAAGCCGAGCGAAAGCTTTTCTACGACCTCTGCCGCTTGGTAAATCTTTGAATTGCCCATCATAAAGAAAGGGGAACGAAAATTAAGCAGGTATGTAAACAGTTAGTGCAAATACAGAATTCATCATGTTCATAAAACGTAAATAGCCGGCGGGTCAAAGGGCACTACGAGTATGTGTGTGACTAGCTGTTGAAATTTTGGTCTGGCCCAAACTCAACCCCGGGGCCAGCACGTACTAAGCCGCACACACACACACACACATATATATATACATATACTACGAATATAAATTAATATACATATATATATATATATATACATATAGAAATAAATATATTTCGTAGGCAGGAGCCGAGCAACTCGTAAATTATTTGCGCGCGTGTTGAACAAAATGTTGAATAAATAAATGTGGCATGTTTGGGTTGTGGCCATAAAAAAATGGGAACGCGAAATGTTGTATAAATGATTAAACTCCGTTTTGTTGCCACTTCTACAACTATTAGCATAATCATGTGTGCAAGTGTGTGCGTGTACTGTTTTACGACACATATACCAATATCCGAGGGGGGGTGGGGGGAGGGCGTATAAAAAAAAACACCATTAAAGCTGGCCATAAAACAATTTATCAAAATTTGTGACATTAACTACCAGGGCCGCAGCGAGGCACACATCACTCAAAGCATCCAAACAGGATATACACATTTACGTATGTGTGTGTGTGTGTGTGTGTGTGTGTGTGTGTGTATGCCACATGGACATGCTCATTAGGCATAATGTTAATATGTAACGAACACACACGCACGCACACACACCGACAGCACACGCAAAACTATTATGAATGAAAATGCAAATAGTTGAAGCAGACATTTTAGTGTCATAATTATATTCTATAAAGGCATAGACAACTTGCAGATACCCTGTAAATAATGCAACAGGCACAGCTTTAAGATTTCTAAGAGCAACTTCTTTTTGGTCCACAAAGAGTACGTAATAGGTATTATAATATTTGCATATGCCATACAATAGAATAGCATGTTAGGCTTGCAGATACCCTGTAAATACTACAACAGGCACAAGCTTAAAAATTTCTAAGTGTGACTTCTTTTAGGTCCAAGTCTTAGCTCAATTCCAGACATTTATAAACGTATGTTATAGGTGTTATTATTATTATAATAAGCTTGCAGATACCCTGTAAATAATGCAACAAGCACAGCTTTAAGATTTGTTTTAGTCTTAATTTTAATGCCAGCTTCTTAAAACCTTGAAGTGAGTATAATAGCTTTTTCATACGTTATATTAAGCTAGCATATACCCTGTAAATATTGCAGAAGACAGCTATACATATATATATATATATTCAGACCTTTCACAGCCCTTTAAAAAGTATTATAATTTTATCATAAAATGTGAGCTTTATAAAGCCTTATAAAGTAACTCTCCAGCACAAAGACTGAAGTAGACAGTTTCAAGCTCATAAAATACATATATATTCCTGATCAGCCTCAATAGACGAATCTTTATAGGCATGTCCATCTATTCGTTTGTCTTTGCGTATGTGCGCCTTTCTGTTGCAGACAATATACATATATCGGATCGGAACACTATATCATATAGATACCATATGAACGATCGGTGAAAAAGTAGGTTCTTGTATACCAAGATATTTACGTCTAAATGTCTTCAAGCGTATTAAATACTCTTTTTTTTGTTATAAAATTTAAATACTTATATCGAAACATCCTTTTTATGCAATTGTTGCTTATGTGACTGTTGTAATGAAAATAGTACGCGACAAGCAACAAATAGAAACAACAAAAGCTACAACAATATGCAAAACAAATAAAAGGGTCTGTGCCATTTGTTGCAAATAGTTCCTCCTATTGGACAGCCATTGATGACGCCATCTGTGGCTGCCTTCTGTTGTCCAACGTATAGAGTACAGTGTCTATTGTCCGCCGTCCATTGTCCGGTTTTACGAGTCCTGTGCGCCATGTTAATGAGATGCAAATAAGGTTCACCCACGCACCATTTACGATATTCATATATGGACATACCCGTGTGCCCCGCCCCTCGCCAGCTGCCATTTCTACATACACTTTCGCATATTTGCGCTTTACGACAGAATGTGACGTTTATGCGTGTGTGTGTGTGTGTGTGCGATTATTTGGCCTGTCGTTCTGGATATGTGTGCCAAGGAGTTCAGCGCCTTTTGTCCCGCTTTGAAATGGCATTTGTTTTGGTATTTGCTCTTGCCATACCACGGCGACACACACGTGTGTGTCAAATCTGCCAGTCAAAGTGAAAGTTGCCTTTCTTTTTTTCTACAAGTGTGTGTGTGTGCGTGTGTGTGTGTGTGTGCTGCACACTCCAATTAAGCAACAAAATGTTGCTCAGCTCCAACATTTTGTCATGTTTGTTGATTTATTCGAACTTTTACGCCGTGCGGTGCCTGTAACTCGAGTGTACGCGTCTGTCAGTAAAAACAAATACACACACTCTCTTACATACACTCACACTCACACACACTCGCATTCCCATCATCGCATTGCGTATACGCAGTGGACACTTGAGCCGGGTTAGGCCTAAGCCTTTCGCGTGCGGCGAACAAAAAAAAACTAATTGCCTACTTTCGGGCTGTGTGGCTGTGCTTTGAATATGGAAGAAATCTCTCATGGTAGCGTGCCCGTAGCTTGACAAAAAAAAATAAAAAATATGAGTGCAAGACCCAATTTGAGCGCTCTACGTGGACTCGACTTCATGTCAATAAACACACATAGACACACACACGCTTACCACGAATAAAAGCGTGCACTACTTTAGCGTAGCCGACTTGCAGATACCCTGTGCTTACAACTCAAAAAGCCACAGAACTAATTTGTTGTCTGCGTGACATTTAAAAATAAATAAGTGTGCGCTAGTCGAGCGTAAAACGACTAGCAGATACCCTGCGTAGTCGAAAATAATCGACTAAGGGATACCCTGTCTATACTAAAAAATCCTCCAAGATTTGTTGCCTTTGGCACAAATAATTTCCAAAAGAAATATTTACGTATTTACGTGATGTTGCTCTTGTAGAGCGTAAGCGACAAGAAGATACCTTGGATATGTTACACAACATCCCATATATAAAGTCTGGTGTTTTTAGCTCCTATAATATGCAATATATGCTCAAAAGAACACGCGCTTCGATATTTATATCGATATCGGAAGCAAAGAAAGCTGAACAAAGAGACAATCGATCGATACATTTTGTTCATAACGCTTCCAACCTCTCCTCTTCAACAATTTTAATGGGTTCTTATCACATCGCCCACAATATACATATATTACCAAAATAATAACAAAAATAATCAGTGGCCAGAGACAAATCCGTTTGAACATCTCTAGCAGCATCTCGTGCTGACGTTGTTGTAACATTTCATTGGCCAATTTCGTTGCGGTTTTTCCAGCTGCTCGAAACAAGCTCTGACGTCAGAGCCTGCTCTGGCGATGAGTGCTACATGCTGGCCACGATATGCCATATAGAAACTATAACTGTGTGTGTACATGTGTGTGCGTGTGTATGTGTGTGTGCGTGTTTGCTTGCTCGTGTGTATTTTGGGGGGCAGCCGAGTGCTTTTTCTATTTCAGTTTGTTATTGTTGTTGGATTGGAGCATCGCTGCAAGCCGAATCGATTTCGATTTGCCACACAACTTACTTACTTAGTTTATCTACAGTTGCCGCCACCATCCATCCTCCACGTCCTGTATGGCTCCGGGCTAGCAATTGAATCGACGCCATTTCTCATGACTAATGATCTTCACCGGCCATTCTCAAGTGCACACTGCACAGCATCCGTTGGACGCCGTGCATTCGAGATTTTCATGATTTCCACTTTTCCGGCCCAAGTAAATATCTGCAGCAAATGGCAAATTGCTGTTTTAACATTTAATAATTTGCTGCACAGCACCAGATTTATGTTGAATTCAATGCAGCAGTAATAATAGCAGTATTTTACACTGCTCGGCTGTTGCGTTTTTCTAAGCGACACAGTTTTATAGGCAATTGAACTAGCATGCCGGCTTGAATGCCAGGCCTTAGTATACATGCAGTAATTGTCTTAGCCCAAGGACAAAGCTGAACTCATTAATTATTAAAGAGCAGAAGTAGCTGACTGGATAGGCCCGCGCCTGTCGAGTATTTCTACCCGCTATAATCCTATATAGACACTGGTTAAAATTTCACGCACCCATAACTCCGTCAAAATTCATCCGATTTTCATGGAGCTTGGCTTTTTACTCATGGTTTTGCCTCTAAAAAAATTTGGCATTTAAATCTGGCAACGTCATTTTTGATCCGAACTCATGTAAAAATCATGACCTCCAAAATCCGATATAGACATGGGTCCAAATTTCCCACATCCGTAACTCGGTCAAAACTCTACCGATTTTCATGGGGCTTGGCTTTTTATTCATGGTTTTGCCTCTACAAAAATTTGGCATTTAAATCTGGCAACGTCATTTTTGGTCCGAACTCATGTAAAAATCATGACCTCCAAAATCCTATATAGACATGGGTCCAAAAATCCCACATCCGTAACTCGGTCAAAACTGTTCCGATTTTCATGGGGCTTGGCTTTTTATTCATGGTTTTGCTTCTAGAAAAATTTGGCATTTAAGTCTGGCCACATCGTTTTTGGTCCAAATTCATGTAAAAATCATGACCTCCAAAATCCGATATAGACATGGCTCCAAATTTCCCACATCCGTAACTCGGTCAAAACTGTTCCGATTTTCATGGGGCTTGGCTTTTTATTCATGGTTTTGCCTCCAGAAAAATTTGGCATTTAAATCTGGCAACGTCATTTTTGGTCCGAACTCATGTAAAAATCATGACCTCCAAAATCCTATATAGACATGGGTCCAAAATTCCCACATCCATAACTCGGTCAAAACTCTACCGATTTTCATGGGGCTTGGCTTTTTATTCATGGTTTTGCCTCCAGAAAAATTTGGCATTTAAATCTGGCAACGTCATTTTTGGTCCGAACTCATGTAAAAATCATCACCTCCAAAATCCTATATAGACATGGGTCCAAATTTCCCACATC